ACCCTGAACCGTAAACCCTTAACCCTTAACCCTGAACCCTAAACCCTAAACCCTGAACCCTGAACCCTGAACCCTGAACCCTGAACCCTTGACCCTAAACCCTAAACCCTAAACCCCGAACCCTGAACCCTAAACCTGCCCAAGCCGCAGGAGCCTCGAGCTCAACACCAACACCCGACTCCTACTCCGTAAGCCTCTCCTTGGGGACGAAAGGACCCTTATAAGTAAGGGCCCTATACCCTTATCTTGGTGTTCTTCTGGTTGGCTCTTACGTAGGACTTTAACTTTTTGGGGTTTCTATATGAACTATATTAAGGGTTTAGGGTTTAGGGTTTAGGGTTTAGGGTTTAGGGTTTAGGCTAAAAGTTTAACTTTTAGGAGGGGTTCAGAAGTCAGCCAAGTTATACGATGGATCCCGATAAGGTATATGAACCTGAAGCCCTTTTGGGGTTCATTTCGTCCTTTAGGTTCTTGCAATCTTAAACGTTTACCTTTTTGGGTTCAGGGCTTTAGGTATTAATTTTGGGCTCAGGGTTTTGGGTTTTAGTTTTGGGTTCAGGGCTTTAGGGTTTAATTTCGGGTTTAGGGTTTTGGCTTTTAGTTTTGGGTTCAGGGATGAAGCCCCATACCAGGTGTGGAAGGATCAGCTAAAGCGCTAAACCCTAAACCCTAAACCCTAAACCCTAAACCCTAAACCCTAAACCCCATACCAGGTGTGGAAGGAGCAGCTGAAGCGCGGCCTCACCCAAGAAGTGGGGGACGAGCTGCCGGACAGGCCATTGCCCCAAGCCTTGGGGAGCAAATGACCCTGATAAGTAGGGGCCCATAGCCCTTATCCTATGAATCCCTATATGGTATATGAACCTAAAACCCTTTTGGGGTTCATTTCGTCCTTAATTAAGGAGGGTCCACCAAACAAGGGGTGCCCAATATAGTTTAGGGGCCTAAACAATTAAACAATTACCAATGCGATTTTTGGGGCGTCCCTTCTTAGAATTGTGGTATAAAGTACCACAAAACCCTATTCTAATTATTCCCTACATCATAAACCCTAGACCCTAAACCCTAACCCTAAACCTAAACCTAAACCCTAATTCTTATTTTAACTATTCAGGCCACTACATTAGACACCAAGTAGCCGGATCCTCGTTACCTGGAGGTTCATGGGACTTACAAGTCCGGGTTGCTACAAACCTAGAATTCTAAGGGGTACTTAGAAATAATTTATAATCTTTGGCTACTATAAACCCTAAGAAGCAGCTGAAATTATATTTTTTGCTAGGGGTCTAAGTTCAGTATAGAATTACCTATACCTGAATTAGTTGGAGGAGTCTCTTGAGCTGATTGGAGCAAGTTAGGGTTTAGGGTTTAGGGTTTAGGGTCCAGGGTTTAGGGTTTAGGGTTTAGGCTTTGGCGAAGTGGAAAGCCTGTTGCAAAAAAAGGGGGTTGTTGAAGCGAGCACACTCTCTGCAGGCAGTGGCAGTACTCGCTGGCGTGATCCAGACCCTCATGGACCTGGAGCAAGCCCTGCCAGCTAATTACTGATGCTTTCTCAGGGAAGCTGTGGGATCTATAGGGTTTAGGGTTTAGGTCTGGATGCAGGTTGGGATTCAGACTTGAGAGCCTCGATTTGCCTTTTGATGTATGTTGAGGAGTCTTTCATCGCAAACTACACAAGGGCCTGAATCACCAGTGGCTTCCTAAACCTCATTACTTCAAAGCACCGGTGCGTCAATTGCTTTCGAGTCCCTCGCGGGGCCTGTTACCACTTCAATTGCCACTTCAATTGACTTATGTAAACCCCCTCCACGGGGGCTAATTACCACTTCAAATGCCACTGCAATTGACTTATATGAACCCCCTCCGAGGGGGCTACCACTTCAATTGCCACGTCAATTGACTTATATAAACCCTCTCCGCGGGGGCTACCACTTCAAATGCCACTGCAATTGACTTATATAAACCCCCTCCGGGGGGGCTACCACTTCAATTGCCACGTCAATTGACTTTTAAACTTACACGCCTGAACCTGGCTCAGCCTACTCTATATGCAACAAGGAGCTACTATATATCTTTCTATTTATCTATCTATCTCTCCATCTATCTATCTGCTAGTACACGGTGAAGTGCAATTGGAGGGCAGGGAACCCTCAATTAGTTGAAGTGGGCCTGTGAAGCAAGAAATGACATGTCCCACAGCCGGGGTTTAGGGTTTGGGTTCAGGGTTTAGTTTAGGGTTTTGGGTTTTGGGTTTAGGGGTTTAGGGTTTAGGGTTTAGGGGTTTAGGGTTTAGGGCATAGGATTTAGGATAATAGGGTTTAGGGTATCCCACAGCCGTCCCTACAGAGCGATCATTGCCGAAATCTGGCAGCATCGGAAGCTCACCAGAGAGGCATTTCGCATCAGGGTCTTGCCAAATTTCGGAGCTCACAGTTCCTTATCTTCATTATAGTCTACTGGGCCCCGAAACCCTATTCTGATCATTAAGGCTTCTGTATTACCCCAGGTGACGTGCAGCGCCCTTCTATAAACTACGGCAGATTCAGGTAGATTCCGGTTTAGGGTTTAGGGTTTAGGGTTTAGGGTCCCTAAACCCTAAACCCTAAACCCTAAACCAGATTCCTTCATTACGGGCTCGCAGAGTCTCCAGGTACTTTGGGTGCAGACGGTTTAGGGTTTAGGGTTTAGGGTTTAGGGTTTAGGGTTTAGGGTGGCGTTTACCAGTTTAATACGTGCGGAGCTATCTTGAACATGTTTACGATCCTTAAAACTTATGAGCAACATCCTTTGTCCAGAACTGTTGGCAGAAACGCTCTTTTAGAGAAGTACCCACGTGATAGTTGGTTCCGGGTCCGGAGACTACTATAGAAGCCTAGAAATATTATCAATACTATTCCTTGGGTTCTTTCAGGAGCCCAAAACCCTATTGTAATTATCAAGTCCCCTACATTACCCTAAGTGTCAGAAAGCTCTAAAACAGCCCTGGACGCCGCAGGATGTGGCTCGGAGCAGAGCACGTGCAGAAAAGGCCTCTCGGCCGGGGCCTGGTTTTTTGGTCGTCGGTTGGTCGTTTTAGTGGTAGCGGAGCCCCCGATAGGGTGGGGGCCTAGTTGGTTCTTTGGTTGGTTTAGGAGGCCTCGGTCGTGAGGTCACCTGATAGAGTAGCATCCTGGGCCATGGACCGGGTTGCGCGTGATGCTTCGAGCGGTCGGCGTGGGCAGTCTCAGGCAGCCTCGTCTACCCCAACGGACCGTGCTGAACATAGCACCCCAGACTCTGCAGAAACAGTGATGGGCGTTGGTGGAGGGCGTGAATGGACTCCCTCTGTACGAGGCCGGCCCGAAGTGTTGAGCCGAGAGAGCTTTCGTCATTGGCAAGAGGACGAGCGGCAGGATGTGTGGGACGATCAATGGAGCAGCTGGTCCTCCTGGCAGTCTCAAGGAACCAGCTGGGAAGATCCGTGGTCTTCCTATCTTGACCGTCGTCGTCCTGGGTGGCGCCGATACCGAGATGACGATCAGTATGAGAACTGGGGCTATGTGCAGGAAGAGGATGATGAAGACGAACCTCCTCCTACGCCCCCGGGCTCAATGGTGCCATTTCCTCGTTTGCTCTCTCGTCGGGAGAACAGTCCGGAGCCGAAAGAGCCTCCCGTGCCGAGTGGAATTCTCCAAGGAAGCCGGGTGCTGACTGCGCCAGCACCGGGATTTCCTCATGCTTTTCAATTACCCGATCATCCCCAAGAACATCGTGGAACAAGAGCAGTACAACCAGATCTTCACCTTTGTCCCAGCGATCAGCCGCAAGAACATCATGGAACAGGAGTAGTACAACCAGATCTGCACCTTTGTCACAGCGATCAGGCGCAAGAACCTCGTGGAACAGGAGTAGTACGACCAGATCTGCACCTGTGTCGCAGCGATCAGGCGCAAGAACCTCGTGGAACAGGAGTCGTTCGACCAGATTTACCTCAGCAGGTCCCGGGGGTCACTTTTGCGTCTATGACCGGTGTTCAGGACAGTCAGCGCCAGGGGTCCAATGGCTACGGCAAGGAACAGAAGTCAGGGGACACCGGAGGCAGTGGCGGATATCTTCGTCTGCATAGCTCCTTCCCGCCAGAGTTCAGGGCGAAGCCAGGGGAGTCATGGAAGGACTACTGGAGGTCAGTTGAGTTTTGGCTGGCTTCGGAAGGGTCCAATCTTCCAGCGTCAGTGCGTGGCGCAAGGCTGATGCAGTCCATGAAGGAGCGGGCGGGCAAGATCGTGGCCCACCTCACTGTCAACGACGTGGCCGCGGACAATGGGGTGCAGCGCATCAAGGATGAAATGGAGAAGTCGCCGATAATCCGGCTGTTGGAACACAAGGAAGTCGACAAGACTCGCAAGAAGTTCATGCGACTATGCCGGCACCCTCGCGAGTCGTTGGAGTCGTTCATCAATAGGGCCTCGATCTACAGGCATGAGAATGATAGGTGCCAGAACTACCGCGTGGGCACGAAGTTCTACCTTGGGCACCTCCTGGATGCCGCGAAGCTTACGAACAAGGACGAGGCCTTGGTGAAGACGGCAGCTGGAGGATTGCATGATGAGAACAAGGTCGTCAATGCGATGTTGGAGCTGGCAGAGCAGTTGGAAGGGAAGCCGGGCTACCCGATTGCGAAAGGCGAGCCCAACCTGCATGACGATGACGAGTACCTCTTCCAGAAGGGCCGCGAAAAGGAGCGCGAGGAGCCGGGCCCTACGCGAAAGCCTTTCCACCGAGGAGGCCGGGGCCATGATGGAAGGTTCCGGAAGAGCCATAAACTGGCCAAGCGGTGGAAACAGGTGTTCCATGCCATCCTGGAGGACGAGGACGATAACGAGGACGAGGACTCCAGCGTGCACAACCAGACTTCGAGTGACGAAGAGGACGACCGCGACGAGGGCCCGGAAGCAGGCAACGAGAGGGAAGAGGAGAGTGCCTCCGACTCCTCTGCTCTGCCCGCGGAGGTGTACGCCCAGGAGTACAAGGCCAAGAAGAAGGTGAACGAGATACGCCAGATGAGGCAGTTCTTCCAGAAAGGGACGAATCCCGATAAGACCAAGGCCTGGGTTCGCGAACAGCAGAAGAAGGAGCCATGCTTCCTTTGTGGTCGCCTAGGCCATTGGAGCCAAGAGTGCCCCAACCGTGCTCGCAGTTCAGGTCGCCCGCCACATGCAGTGAATGCGGTGGCTGGCAATTTCACGAGTGACCGGGGACAATGGGACTTGCTGGAGACCATGGCCGGTTACATGAGTGCTGCGAGCCAGTCTTCAAGTGCTAGGACGTCGGGATGCTTTATGGTTTCAGGTCATGTCAATGCCTACCAGTCCAGCGTTGTAGATCACGAATCGTTTTGGGCCATGCGTGAACTACATAGCAGTCTGATCCTTGACATTGGTTGCATGAAGTCGGTGGCGGGCACTAAGTGGACGAACCAGCATATCCAGAGGCTTCGTGGATTGGGGCGCTGGATGAAGGCTGTCAAGGAGAAGGAGAGTTTTCGGTTTGGGGATGGGCATGAGCTTTGTAGTGAGTATGCCTTTATCTTCGAAGCGACTATCATGGGAGTTCGAGTGCTACTTCGTATCAGCGTGGTCCCTGGTGATTGTCCTCCCTTACTGTCGAAACCTGCGTGCACTCAGTTGGGCCTCGTTATAGATACAGAGAATCACACGGTGTCTTCTCGCAAGCTTAAGGTGAGCAAATATGGCCTTACCCAGACATACGGTGGCCACTACGCCTTGCCCATTGCTGAGTACACTGCAGACATGCCCCCGATGCACGACCCCAACCTCCCGGAATATGTTGAGGCGATTCCCGTGTATGTGATGACTGAGCCTAAGGACTCGTTTGTGCAATCTTCGACAGCCCCGACAAAGGCCCCGGGGCATTCGTTGAGGTCCTGGACTCGTCACGACAAGGGAGTGATGAACACTGTGGGCCCAGGGAATCGAGGACCTCCTTGGAAACATGTTGTGCATCGAACAGTATATGACACCCAAACCGGAACGAAGATACTTGATGAAGCAGTTTCCGAGACCACTCGTGTTCGGCAGCCTCTGCAATGCGTCAGTGACACGACTACTATTTTCATGTTCCGGGTGCCGGGCTCTCTCAGCAATTCGGAAACCTTTTCGATGAGTGCCTTCCCGTCCCCCTCGCCGAACCCAGCTTTGACTCATGGTGAAGCGCAAGGAGGACATCCCCGCGAAACCCTCAACGGCCCAAGGCAGCCGCCCGGAGCACCACAAGATCCACGACGCGGACTCGGACACGAGCAACTCGGCGGCCCTCAAGGGAGGATTCTCGGACTGGTCCCGAGCGAAGGAGGACAAGGAAAGGCCGCGACGACCGAAGCCTATCATCAAGGGCAACTTCGCCCGGAGGAGTGCAGCCAGTCGCTCCAAATCAGCCGAGAAGGCCAAGGGAGCCGTGATGACCGAGCGGATGCGAAAAGGGAGCCCCTCGAGACCGAGGAGCCCGGCGGCGCGACCATCCAAGAACAAGGCGAGCTCATCGGAGGCGCCGGGAACGCCATCCTCCATCAGGTCGTCCGCGACCATCGCGAGTCTCAAGGCACAGGCGGCGGAGCTCGAGGAACGAATTTGGCCGCACATGGATCCCACCACGATCATCACGGAGGGCTCGAAAGCAACGAAGGCGTACTGGATTGCGCGAGTGGAAGTCTTGAAGGAGGAGCTGGGCTTCTGCAAGGGCCCGGCGGCGATGGACGAGGATGCGGACAAGCCGATTGGGGATGGCGAGCGCGACTACGAGACCCTCTCGGTACCTCCTCGAGCACCCAGAGGGCGACCTGCGGTGACCAATCCGATGCCGAAGGTGGCTTCCTCAGCGCACGCAGCCAAGGTGGAGCGACACAAGGCCCTAACCGACCACGCGGCGCCGTTCCCAACGATCTCAACGAGATTCTCAGACGACCTGGTCGTGAATGCCATGATCTCCATCCAGAGCCAGCTCTTCACCTTCAAGTGGAAGACGTTTGTGTGGATGGTGCGCATCCGAGAAGCGGTGAGGCTCGAAATGGGAGACCAGGCCAAGTGGCGCCGCAATGCGAGGTGGTTGATGAGTCTGTTCGGCAAGCAACTCGGAGCTCTATGGGGCCATCTGGGAGCAGCCCGGCAGCTCACGAACGACTTCAAGCACATCCACCTCATGAGGGGGAACGATCCAGTACGAAGCCGTCGAGAGGACTAGAGCAACGACTTCGCCAAGGAGCCACGAAGGGGCAGCGCATTTTGGGTCTGATGACCTTGATGGCTTCATGGGGCGTCGGCTACAATGTCTTGGAGCTCTTCCCGACCGGTGCCTGCTGGACCGAGCAGGCTGTGGGCACTGGATGGCAGTTTCCGGGCCCCATCTGGGACAACCGAGCGGCCCCAACTTGGAAACAAGCTCGATGGATCAGCAAACAAGTTCGCCAGGCCGCCCCCGACGTGCTGATCCTCGCCCCACCAACCGGGCCGTGGAGTACCTGGAGTCGGAGCTCATCCAAGGAGACGACGGCCGCGAAGGTGGAATATTGGCCAATGTGGCATTTGATCTGGGAACTCTGGAAATACCAGAGTGATCGCGGAGGCCTAGTTCTACTACAATGGGGCAGCCATGCCGCCCCACCTTGCGGAGACGAACTTCGAGAACTAGGCCGGCGTTTCATGATGGAACACCCTGTCTACAAGGAGGCGATCCTCAACTTCCCGGAAACGCCCGAGCCCGATCCCATCTATGATGGCCGTGTGGACATGTGTATGTTTGGGTTGCTGGACCACCAGACAAGTAAGCCCTACAAGAAGACCTACCGCCTACATGTCAATGACCCCTGGTGGTGCTCCCAGCTTAGTAGGCAAGCTCAATGTTCACATCTTCCAGGACAACACCAAGGGCTAGAAGGAGTCATGGTCACGGAGGAGCTTCGGATACCTCGTCATGAATTTGCTCTTCGATGGCCCGCTGCTTGGGTTGAGCGACTGCTTACCACTGTGGCCGAGACCCTCCAGGTGAGAAGGGGTATGCCCCAGGAAGTCACGCAACTGGCTCTACATGAGCCATCCTCCTCACAAGTCGAGTGGGAAGCTGTGCCAGTGGAGGTCGAAAACTCCCCGGAGGGCATGTTGAGACACAAGCTCGGCGAGGTGACGGGTGACAAATACGACTATATCTACTTTGAAGGAGCCAGCGCGGCCCTTTCCAAACAACTTCGTACCACCCTCGCCCGTCTACATGTGAGTCTGGGCCATGTCTCGGCCGAGAAGCTGAAGCGAATGTTGCACCTGAGCGGGGCCAAGGACCACATCTTGAGTGCTGTGTCAGATCTGAGGTGCCAAATCTGTCAGTCGGTCACAAGCCCTACAAGAACACCCAAAGCCGCCTATGACCGACCCCAGCGCTTCAATGAGAGAGTTGTGGCAGACGTTTTCTTTGTGTGGGATGCCAACCAGACCAAGTACGCGGCCATCCATGCAGTGGACGCCTTCTCTTTGTATCAAGTGGCCTCGCTGATGCCTACGGCTAAGTCGGATTTGGTGGCCCACTTCCTCAAGAACTACTGGTTGGGCATCTTTGGGCCACCGGAGGTGTTGATGACGGATGCGGGCAACGAGTTCGCAGCACATACGGAGGCACTCTTACGTGCCTTTGATGTTCATCACGAAATGGTGCCTCCCTCGGCAAAGTGGAGAATGGGCTTGGCGGAACGCCGTGGGGCGGTGCTGAAGCTGCTGGCCATGAAGACGATCAAGGCCGTGACGGCGAAGGGCTACAGCGAGACCAAGGAGTGCCTAGTGGCCGCAGCGGCAGCCCGCAACAGGCAGATGCGGGTGGGAGGATTTTCTCCCGTACAAATTGTACTTGGGCGAGACGTGGCTATCCCTTCCTCCCTGTTGGCTCAGCTGGAGTCTGGTCACTTCCGCTATGTCGTCAACCAGGACTTGACCTTCACCGAGGCCAGGAGACGAAATGAACAAATTCGTCAAGCAGCTGAGCAAGCCTTTCTTTGGGCCGATGGGAGTGAAACACTCCGGAAGGCCCTCTCCTCCCGCACTCGCCACCCGAAGATGGAGATGTTGTAAGAAGGAGCTTTGGTGTACTTCTATGACCCTCCAGGCAGCCGCAAGGGCCTGCCTAAAAGACTCCAAGATCAAGTGTCTTGGACAGGACCTGGGGTGGTGGTGGCCTTGGAACGTCGAGGAGGGGCCATCAAGAGAGTGTGGATTCGTTACCGCAACAAGCTCAAAGGGGTCCCTTTGGAGTATGTTCGCTTGGCAGCCTTGGAAGAGGTAGAGAGTACCAAGGTATGCCAGGAGGCCCTACGAGAAGTGGAGAGAGAATTAGAAGGCGGACGACCCGATGTCGAGGAGATGCTGGACGATCACCTCGAGGAGCCCACTGACCCTCTCATGGCTTTCAGTGGAGATGAGGAAACCGCAGAAGAGGAGGAGGCGCCTCCCGACCCTACGAGGGAACCTCCGCGAGGCCCCGGATCAGTGCTTGATGATCTTCCGCTTCAATTTCATCGACGTCCTCCGCAACCTCCACCTCGAGAAGCCTCTCCCGCAGATGACCGCATACCGATACGCGATGTTGTGGCGAGTCCTCGACCCCTTCCGGAGGAACAACCCAACCGGAAGAAGGTCCGCTTCGATGAGGCGGTGAAAGCCACCGAGCAACACCTGAGCCGCATGAAGGCGGTGTTAGAACCCCGGAACCCGCAGCAAGGAGGAGATAGGGGCGAGGCATCGGCGTCTTCCGCGCCTATGGCAGGATCATCGACTACCCGACCGCATTCCACGGACGCACCTAGCCCGGGCGCGACGATGAGCCACCGCGGTTATGGTGTGCTACATGCATGTCGAGCTTGGAACCTCGAGGAGGCCACCAGGAGCCAGCGGAAAATGATTCGAGAGGCGCGACGCCGTGGATGGGAAGCGCATGGAATCACCGTGGACGCCCTCACGACCGAGATTATGGACTACATGGAGGAGATGTCTGAGGTTCCCAAGAACGTGAGTTGCGAACCCAACGAGTCCCCTTCGAGTGAGGTGACCAAGCCAGTCACAGGAAAGCCGCGACTGGAGTACAAGTGGACGCAACTCAGCGAGGACTGGAAGCAGGCGTTCATCGACCCCCTCCGCAAGGCGATCGACGCTTACGTGGACCACGACGCCTTGGAGCCCGTTCCCTTAGGACAGCCAATCCCTCCGGACAAGATTCTGCCGTCCAGGTTTGTGCTGACCAACAAGGGAGCCGAGCCGAGACACTAGAGGAGGCGGTCCTCAAGGCGAGATGGGTGCTAGCTGGCCACCGCGACAAGGAGGCCGGTATGCACGCGACGGAGGCCCCTACGGCGAGCCTGGTGTCCCATAACTTGATATGCTTCGTGAGCGCTCAGAAGAAATGGATTCTGAAGTATGCCGACATCTCGGCGGCCTTCCTGCAGGGGGAGAAGTTGGACGTTTCAAGGGTGGTGTACGTCAAGCTGCCGAAGGGCTACCCCTCGGAGATTAACGACCACCTCCTTCGCCGACTCAGCGAGCGAACCCGAGGAAGCCTACGTCACGACCTGGTCAAGCTGGTCAAAGGAGGCTTTGGACTGGCTGAGTCACCGAGGCTATGGTACTTGAGACTCAAACGCGGCCTCGAAGACGTGGGCCTCAAGGAGCTTAAACTGTCGCCCGGCACCTTTGTTTTTCACGTAGGCGGGGAACTACAAGGGATACTGGCGATCCACGTGGACGACATCCGCATGGCCTTTGCAGCAGCGTACGAGTATGTCCTGAACAACCTTCGGGAGAAGTTCCACTTCGGCGAGTGGAAGACGGCCACCGAAGAAGTGGTGAAGTTCTGCGGCCGGTGGGAAAAGCAGTGTCCCACCACTTACACCGTCACCATCAGCATGGATGGCTATGCTGAGAAACTGAAAGACCCACCGCAGCGCCCGAAGGATGACAGGAGCCCTCTCACTGACGCCGAGAGGTCTTGGGTCTCTTCCGTGGGAGGCCAGTTGAACTGGATGGCCCGACAAGGTCGTGCTGACTTGGCATTCGGGATCTCCCGCGTGCAGCAGATGAGCGGTGCCCGAGACCCCGAGACCTTGAAGGTCCTGGGACAACTGGTGACACGAGCGCGGCAACCGTACGAGTGCATCTTCCAACGAGTACCTGGAGAGCTGGATGGTTTGGTTTTCCTAGCGGTGAGCGATGCCTCGCACGGAAGTATGCCAAAGGGGCGCTCGCAAGGAGGCATGATGATCCTCTTGGCCAACGAGGAGGTCCTGGAGTCCGAGACCGTGGTCAACTGCGTCCTGTACCACAGCTCGGTCCTCAAGCGTGTGGTGAGGTCCAGTCTGGCAGCTGAGATTTCTCAGGCTGCTGAGACTCTTGAGCAATGCGACTACATCCGCACGGTCATGGCCGAGATCCTCGACCCGAACTTCCAGCTGGCTCAATGGCGATGGAGCGCGGGCCAATGGAAACAGGTCTTGGTGCTGGACTCCAAGACCGGCTACGACATCCTCAACTCCATAAGTCATGGAGAGGACAAGCGCCTTGCCATTGACATCGCCATCTTGAAGGAGTCGCTGTACGAACCGATGGCGAACAGATGGGTCCGCTGGGTGCCCGGCTTGACAATGCCATCGGACGGCCTCACCAAAGAAGCCGGAAACCCCATGAGAGACATCATCATGCGTGGAGGCCCCTGGAGTCTCAAGGACAATCCAGCAGCCCAGAGGCTTCGTGAAGAGGCGGGACACCGGAAACGGCAGTGTCGTGAACGCCAGAAAGTCCGGGAGCAAGATTTTGAGCAGAAGCGACAAGCACAGAGTGCAAATGTCGCTCTTTTGTAAAGATGCCGTCCAGGGCTCCAATGGGGGCTGGTGTCAGAAAGCTCTAAAACAGCCCTGGACGCCGCAGGATGTGGCTCGGAGCAGAGCACGTGCAGAAAAGGCCTCTCGGCCGGGGCCTGGTTTTTTGGTCGTCGGTTGGTCGTTTTAGTCTAAGGGTCCAAAGGACCCAATAAGTAGGTACTTTGGTTATGGGTAGTAGTTATCTAGGTTAATATTTTGGAGAGTATATATTTATTAGGTACTTAGACCCTTTGGGTTACGGACGCTGATGTGAGAAGCCTCTTGTCTTGGGCTCAGAGACTGTGCAGTCACCTTAGGCGCTCGTCTTCGAACCTGTCAGCCTCCCTTAGATGCCCCAGCCGGCTTGCGGGGTGGAAACAGGGCTTCCTTAAGAACGAAATGAACCCCAAAGGGGCTTCAGGTTCATATACGTTATAGGGATCCATCGTATAAGGGTATAGGGCCCCTACTTATAAGGGTCATTTGGTCCCCAAGGTTAGGGTCTTAGTAAGAGATGCGCTGCGGTTGATGATATAAATCCTGCATTACCCATATTGAGGAATATACCCGAATTCCCATAGTGTAGGGTCTTTCAGGTAATGTAGGATTTTTAGGGAACATGTTAGAACTTTTCTTAGGGTCTTTGGGTTAAGTTAGGGATTCAGGATTTACCGGCGTAGGTTTGTGGGGTTTAGGGTGTGGGTTCAGGTTTTAGGGTCTAAGATTTAGGGTTTAGGGGTTTAGGGGTTTCGGGTTTACCTTGACCCTAAAGAACCTACCTTTTTAGGGTACTTCAGTATGAATTCTTTATGTAAGTCCTTGAAAAGGTAGGATATTTGGGGTAAGGTAGGGTTTACGGGGGCTGAGGTTTCAGGGTTCCCTAAACCCTAAACCCTAAACCCTAAACCTGGCCCCAGCTGGCCTTGGCTCTTGCACCTGTGCAGACATCGCACGAGACATGGCATACTAAACAGGGTTTAGGGTTTAGGGTTTAGGGTTTAAACCTGAAACCCTGAACCCTGAAGTACTTAAAGGATGGGAGTTAGTAAGTAGGGTTATAACTAAGGTAGCTGCACTTATATTTACTTATAACCCCAATTAAGGGACCTATAACCTTACTTACTAAGTCCCACGATCCTCCAAGTGGGCCCTAAACCCGTAAGGGCTTAGGGTTTAGGCATAGTCTTGGGCCATATACCTGTATCGCAACTCTAAGGAGATCCTATTCGTATGTCAGTGTTTAAATCTGGAATAATGTTACGGCTCCAAGGACTCATATTCTAAGGATTTTGGGCCCAAAGACCATACTGTACAGGGCTTTTGGACTATTTTGAGCCTTAGGGGTAGTGTTAAGGCAATAGTCACATCATGAGTATTTTCAGACCCTTTCCATATTCTGGCTGACATGATAAGCGACAGCATTCGTCTTGCTGCGCGGGATTCAGTGCAGTTTCTGGGTTTAGCTAGATGCCGGCAGTCGTCAACAACCACGTAGTCGCTGAGCATGCAACTTTTACCTTTGTCGTGGTCTATATGATAGAGTCCTATCGAAAACCCTAAACCCTTAAACCCTAAAGTAAGCTCCAAACCCCTAATCCAGTAAACCCTAAGCCCTTAAACCGCATCGAGATTGAAAGCATGCATCGTGGTGGGCCATGGCATTCAGCAAGTACATCTAGGACCGAAGACCATTCAGCAGCCGGCGGGTATTTGGGGCCGGAGCAATTGCCAAAGCAGCATGTTGTGCATGCCCTCGGTCTCACGCACCTCTCTACGCGTCAGGAGGCAGTAGGCCCGAAAACCTGAGCCCTAAACCGAAAGCCCAAAATCCAACCCCTCTAAATCCCACAAATCAAAAACACTTGAAAGCCTGACCCCTAAACCCTAAACCCTAAACCTGACATCCCCATGGAGTGAGGGCTTGACCATACAGGGGACAGAACACGGGCGGTCAGAACATACGTGTGTGTATATGCAGCTACAGATGAGGGTTTAGGGTTTAGGGCTTTGGGTTTAGGGTTTAGGGTATCAGCATAGATACGTGTATACCTATATTTGCACGTATACCGCTTTGTGTATCTACGAGGGATATCGTTTACTATCCTTCGAAGAGCATCGCGTAAGCAAGGTCCGGGAAATAGTAGGGCCTTAGATGCTTCACGTAACAGCTCGTAATAGTTTATTCCCTGATAGGTTGATAGTTTTAACACTTTCAATAATACCTAGTGTATCTATTTAGGTCTCTTCGTGCCTCTGTTGCATCCCAAATCTTTGCACCCTGGAGCTCATAGCTCCCCATTCCGCATTCAAAGAGTGTTGGAGCTTATTATAATTTACGTTTAGGGTTTAGGCGTTTAGGCTACCCTAAACCCTAAACCCTAAGCCCCTAAACCCTAAACCCTAAACCCCTAAACCCGAAACCCTCATTCCCTGTCTTCCCTGAGTCATGGAGTTTTGGTGTCTCTAGGGCTTCCCTCCTGCGTAGCGAGAGAATTTCGGGCCAGTCTCCCCCAGCTTTTGCTTTGCACTTTCGCGCTTCTCCTTAAGGACGAAATGAACCCCAAAAGGCTTTAAGGTTCATATACCATATAGGGATTCATATTATAAGGGTTAGTCCCCAAGGCTAGAAACCCTGTCGCGCTTCTAGGAGCCCTGCCGGGAACCCGTCTAGGAATCCCGAAAGATCCCTTATACCAACCAACCCCCATAGATCCCTTTATAAGAAGCCTTGAAAGAACAATCGAAGGAACACCGCTTTGGGGTTAAGAGGTAGGGCCGATTTAGGGTTTACGGGGGAAAACCCTAAACCCTAAACTCTAAAACCCTAAACCCCCTAAGCCCCAAACCCCCTAAACCCCCCGAATCCTAAAAAACCCTAAACCCCCTAAACCCCAAACCGTAAACCCTAAAATCCTACGTAAACCCTAAAGCCTTTCATAGGAGCCCTTGCAGGCACCTGTTGCCCTGAAAAGAGCCCTCACAGGATAGGAACCCCTACTTGGGATGCTCATAGGAACCCTTTAGGGTTTAGGGTTTAGGGTTTAGGGTTTAAGGGTTTAGGGCTTAAGGGTTTAAAGTTCAGGCTCATAGTTCCTAAACCCTAAGCCCTTGTCGGTTCCGGCTTTTAGGGCTTGAGCTTAGGATTCTTCGGAAGATGACTATATATATATATACAGTACCGAAGATCTTGTTCCAAATATTCATGCCCGTGGAATATCCTCAAAAAACTTATCGGAACCCGCCAGAATCTGGCAGTGTGGGATTTCCAGTTCAGGACGCAGAGACGAACGAACCCCCTTGATTAAGAATAGGAATGATCAAGGGATCGATAAGCGTTACATGAGCTTCGTGTTGGACTTGGGGGCTGGGGACCAGTCCGGACTATTCCATGTATATAGTATTTGGGCGTCTTCTCATTATGATTGTCTTTGTTATTGCCATCTGTAGTGCTAATATTGGTGTGCTGATTATGGAGATTGTTATTTCTACGACTGTTATTATTATGACATGGCTGGGACCGTAGTGCCTTTACTAGCGTGTCCTTACGGTTCTTGTTGTAGGGCCTCGAAAAAGCTAATCCCAAAGGGTCCTAAGTACCTATATAGTAGAATGTAGGGTTTCTATATTAGGAATTACTATTATGGTTTGGGTAAGTATCCCCAATATAGGTACTTAGGACCCTTTGGGAATGTTAGAAGGTGCTCCATGATAGGATACAGTAGGAATCTTACGTGCTTTAAGGGAGTTTCTCTTGCTGGCAACATTGCAAACAACTCGTATTCTAGGCGCCTAGGTCCTTTAAGTGGGGTTCAGGGCTTATGCGCTAAAGCCCATAACAACCCAAATCTTAAGACGCCTCAAAACGTGGAAGTTGAAGCCTCTGACTTCCCGAAGCAACTGGACAACTAGGAAACTCTAGGCCCTAAACCCTAAACTCCAAGGTTAGAAGTATCGGCCCCTAATATGGACCCTTAGGCCTTTCTAGGGACCCTTAAGGGTACATATAGGGTATATAGTAGGTATAAGGCTTTCAGGGTTAAGGGCCCATACTTGGGGCCCATGGGTTCGACCTTAGATAAGCTTTAGGATTTTGGGCTTAGGGCCTCTATTGAACGTCCGCCCTTACAGCAACCTTGATAGCGCCCTTTACGAGGGATGCTACTGGGAGGATCAAGGGACTTAGTAAGTCCGGTTTCCAGTACGATAATAGGGCACATAAGTAGTTATAGGTATATATAAGCATACATACATATATAATATAAGAAGTTATAGGTATGTATAAGCATACATATACACACATACATATATATATATATATATACGTATATTATTCATAAGCCTAGTTAAGTCCCATGATCCTTTGTAAGTATAGGTAAACCTTACGGCTGAAAATTGTAGGGTTGGGAGAAAAGGACTTCGGGATGGGCTCGGCTTTTGCATGCAGCATTCAGGATATGGGTCTTGGGGCTTAGGATTCAGGGATTTTGGGGCTGAGGGGTCTAAGGGATTTAGGGGTTTGGCGTTTTACCCTAAGCCCTAAACCCTAACTTAGGGTTTAGGGTTTAGGGTCCACCCGCCTCGAGTCAACTGCGGCCCCTTTATGGTTTGCCAGTAGCCTAAGACATGCAACCACCCTAAACCCCTTAACCCTGAACACCCGGGGTTTAGGGAAGTTCAGGGTTTAGGGTCTAGGGTATAGGGAAGACTTAAGCCATGAAGACCAAAGCCCTTAAATGCCAACCCCGCAGACCCGAAAACCCTAGAACTGCAAAAAGCAAGCTATAAACCCTAAACCCTAAACCCTAAACCCTAAACCCCTAAACCCCAAACCCGAAACCCTAAACCCTAGACCCAGCTGGGTGTCACTGGTCCACCGGCTATGGGAGCTGATAGCGTGCACTGTGGGCCGATACGGATACACCGCAACTCAGCCTTCCGAATCCGCAGAGGGTTGAGGGTTTAGGGTTTAGGGCCGTTTAGGGTTTAGGACGTTTAGGGTT